TATGCTGAGTGAAATAAGTCAGACAGAGAAAGATAAATACCATATAATTTCATTTATATGTGGAATCTAAGGAACAAAAAGAACAAATTAATCAAAAACAGACTCACAAATATAGTGGACAATTTGGTGATAGACAGAGGGGAGGGGGTTTGGGGGACTGGGAGAATGGGATGAAGGATTAAAGAAGTACAAATTAATAGTTGAGCATGGGGATGGGGAGCATGGCAGAGGGAATGCAGTTAGCATTAATATGATGTCTAGGTGGAGGGTCAGGGGAGGGAGGGAGCAATTGGGAGGATTGTTTTATGAACTGTATAGCTGTCTAACCAATGTACTGCTACTTGAAACTAATTTAAATAAATAAAATTTTTAATGGAAAAAAAAGAAGAGGAGGCAGTACATATATACAATGAACTACTATTCAGCCATAAAAAAAAGTAAAATCTTGTCATCTACAACAATGTGGATGGACCTAGAGGGTAGTGTGCTGAGTGGAGTAAGTCAGACAGAAAAAGACAAATGCCAAATGATTTCACTTACATGTGGAATCTAAAGAACAAAAAATCGGAAACAATCTCATAACTACAGAAAACATTTTGATGATTGCCAGATAGGAGGGGACTGGGGGAAGGGTAAAAAAGGGAAGAGACTAAGAAGTACAAATTGATAGTTACAAAACAGTTATGGAGATCTAAAGTATAGCATAATGAATATAATCAGTAATATTGTAATATCTATGTATGGTGTCAGATGAATACTAGATTTATCAGAGTGATCACTTTGTAAGTTATATAAATGTCTAATCACAATGTTGCATATCTGAAACTAATATAATATATGCCAATTGTAATTAAAAATAAATTATTTAAAAAATTTTTAAATTAAAATCAAAATTAAAAAAAATACTAGTGCAAAATCAGTCTTATTCAGGCATGACTCAGTTATAGATATATGTGCATACCAATGATTTCATAAACTACAAGCTTATGTATATAACCAGTACTAAAGAGTTTTCAAATCTATTATCTCAGAAACAAATTATCTGCTGTTATAGGTTGAATTGTGTGCCCTAAAAAGATATTGAATTCCTAACCCTCGGTAACTGTGAATGTGACCTTATTTAGAAATAGGATCTTTGCAAATGATCAAGTTAAAGTGAGGTCATTAGGATGGGCTCTAATCCAATATGACTGGTATCCTTTTAAAAAGGTGACATTTGAACACAGAGACAGATGGACACACAGGGAGGACACTGAAGATGGGGATCAGGGTGATACATCTACAGTCCAAGGAACACAAGATTTCCAGCAAACCACCATAGGCTAGGAGAGAGGCACAGAATAAATTCTCCCCCTCACAGCCCTCAGAAGGAACCAACCCTGCCAACACCTTGATTTTGTACTTCTAGCCTCCAGAATTGGGAAACAATACATTTCTGTTTCTCAAGCTACTCCATTTATGTTACTTTGTTACAGCAGCCCTGGCAAAATAATATACTACTAAGGGAAATGATAATTTTTTTTCCCCTGGAAGTCACTAAAAACAAAAACATTTTGAAGACTACAAATAAGAAATAATAAAATTTCTTGTTATTCATTTTTTGATCTGGTAGCAAAGATGCTATTTAATAACTAGGCCAACCTAGTGCCCAAAAAACTCTTAGATATTAGTCATCCTTCATCCTATATAGTACCATTTACACACAGAACATCACATAATCAAACACTGGAGACTGTTGCCATCTTATAAATACTAGGACATGAGAATAACATGAAATTATTTAGATGTTCCTTTGTTTTCTAAGAGTATTGTTCTATGAATTTTTATGTACCTGTGAG